ATGCGGGAAAAGTGCAACACAAGCCAGAAGCTGGTTCGCAAGTAAAAATTGTGCCTCCGTGCTGCAGCCAACATGTTTTAAGAGAGGCAAGTTTTACTCTGAGTACAAACTGTCTCCATTTGGAATTTTCTTAGTTTTAGACGACTGAGATGATTGAGACTCATTTCCAGTTATTGCAAATACTTGACTGCAGTTCTTGATGCCAAAGTTGCAATCAAGAACTGGAAGTTACTAGGTTTAGCAAGGGATAACCTTTCTTTAAACAAAGGTCAAGCTAGGTGTGGATAACTTTTTTTCGCTTATTAAATAAAATCATAATTTGAAAACTGCATTTCATAATTATTCGACTTATCTTTGAATAATATTAAATTAGTTTGATGAACTGAAACATGCAATAACAAATTAGCAAAGGGGGATAATACGTTTTCACAGCACTATATGTCTGCAGGAATTGTTAGAGAACAAAGCAATCACAAGGAAGTTTTTGCCAACCAGTTGGGGAAATACACATTTTTCCATAGTGATAGGTGGTTGCCAGGGAGTCACTGATTGTCTGTAGACCTGAATGACTTTGACTTGAGCAATCATTTTCCAAGCAATTGCCATCAGCCTCCAGCAACTACCTGATTATACCAATTGGGGAATGCACGTTTGTTTCCCTATTGCTGGCTAGTTGTGAGATGGTTGCAGACCACTGTGTCACAGCTTGAGTGACTCCAGCCTTTTTCACGCTTTCGTACATTGTCACCATGGTTGTTACATGTCTAAAACGGCAGACAAGTTAACGTCACACAGTTAGTGGTCATGTGTACAGAAGCCCTGACCATCTGCTGTTCAAACCTCGTCTTTCAAACCAAACTAGAGAAAGCTGGCTTAGAGAAGTGATCTAAAACGGTTAAGTAAGGCTTAGTTTGAAACAGATAGCAGAGGTGGGAAATCACCTCTCTTGGAAGAGAAACTTTCCCGAACTGTAGATCTGTGCTGTGTATTCCCCTAAAAAACAGAAGTATAATGTTTTGGTTTTTAAAATAAAGGCCGGCAATACATAGAATAAGTGATGTTTCTGAAACTAGCAAAATGCTGAACAAATTTATTAGACGACCAACCAATGTAAGGTTTAGCCACAGCCACTTTGGTACTTAAAAAAATGTTTTTTTATGTTTCTGTAATGGTTAATCCACAACTATTACAAGCTCCAAAATTAAAAGTATATTTTGAATGTTGAAACATAATTACTGCTGTTATCCATAAACTTCCAAAGTTACAGTTTTACAAAAAAGAAAATTACAGTGGAACCCCGGCTTACGAAGACCCCATTTAATGAAAAATTCAAGTTACGAAGGCAATATTTTTGCCCGTGGTACAACAAAATGCAAGTGTAACGAAATCCGTTTGCGAAATGCATTTCGCTGTTCCTCGTGAAAGACGTATTGTTGTTGCAGTGCGCTATTTCGTGTGCTTTTCGTTTGCAATTAGCCTATCGTTCATTCATAATGGGGCCGGCATAAGGCATAAATATGAGCGAGTTTAAAAAAATGTTAAAATATCATTGCACAGTGTACGTACGTACATTAATTAACGTAAATGTAAGTTTTAGTTTTAATGTTTAGAATTAAATTCCATAATGTTATGTACATGTACATGTACACGTATGTATGTATGCATGCCTATGTATGCTTTCTTCAGCCTCCACCAAGAACTTCAACTTCAGCCAGCATCGCCTCACTCAAAAGGTGATGGAAAAAGGTGCTTCGACTTACTTAAAATTTTGACTTACGAAAGACCCTCTGGAAACTAATTAATTTTGTAAGTCGGGGTTCCACTGTATTATTTTTTTTATCAAGAAGCAAAATTACAGTTATTTACTTATATTCCCGAACAGAGTGTTTGAATGTTGTGCTCGATCAATTTCCAAATCCCCAGAGAAGTCCAGTGTGCCGGCTCAAATCTTGGGCAGTAGAAACGTGAATTTTGTTCGTTATTTCCAGAATTAAAAAAACAACATCATTTTCAGCTTTAAACTGATCTTTCAAGTATTTTTATTTGTTTTAAGTGGCCTAAGAAAATATCATAAATAAAATAAAAATACATTTCCTAAGCGCTATAAGTAATCCCAATAAAAAAAAAATATTAAAAAATAAAAATATATGGTATAAAAACAGTGGAAACTTTAACCTCCAAAACACATCCAGTCTTAAAATAAGTCAAATGTGGTTAGCATCTCTGCTCTTTGCTCTTGAAGCTTATTTAAGTGTATTAACGGTTTATGATGTCAGTGAGAGTGGTCATACTTTCGGTCGAGGGGTTCTGTCTCAGCTTTAAACACTGTGGTAACCCATTTATCAGAAAAGGACTGATCACTGATTCAATCGCTGCTTCAAAGTGGGGCATAATTAGGTTGCAGTCAAATTACAGGCATTTTACACTGTCTGACATACTACACAACCCCTTTGATGTAATATTTTTGTAGATTTTCTTTTTTTTTTAGCAATCCAGGTTAGAAAGAAATAAAGAAAGCTTTGTTATTAGGTTATACATCTTTGGAAAATATCAACTGCTTTTTTAAGGTTTCTTTTATAAATTAGAAACTGTAATTAATGTTTGTTTTTACCAAGCATTTAGATAATATTCTGTGAACCCCCTGCATGTGTCTCACTGGGCTGGTAAAAATGTACAATGCACCTAATTCCCTGGAAACTTTTGCACATTACACAACCTATAGTTTCCAAAATGCTGGGATCTTCTGTGTTATTTTACTTCCTCACATCTGTTCTGAGTATTTTAGATCCTCAGACAACCTCTTTTATTTCCTGGAACTACAAACCTCCAGTTCCCCATCAGCTCATTAAGCAGTGACCACTACGCTGGGGAAATGACTATTTCAATGTTTTGGATACATGCAACATCTTGTAGTTCTAAGAATACCAAATGCTTTTAGATAGTTTGCATAATTTGTGTGGCGGGAAATTCTCCACCTGCTCCAAGAGGGCAGAAACATTTGGCAGTCTGAGCCCATTGGTTATCATTTCTACATCATAAAACTGTCAGAATATAACGTGATGTTTGAGGAAAAAGAAAGTCTCGAGGAACAGGACAATGTAAAGACGTGACACGCTGAACTAGTAAAGCACTAAAACACACACTGACACATACACACAAAGAGCGGCGGCAACCACAGCACACCAGGAAAAACATATCCAGATGTTCTCCTCATAGGCTCACCAACCCCCTCCTACACACACACACACACACACACACACACACACACACACACACACACACACACACACACACACACTTGTGGCCACACATGGGCTACATATTACAGCGCCCTGCTCTTCAACTGTTCTTTCCTCACTCATGCACATAGACACACATCTAAACAGCTACACTTGGAAGGACCAGGATGGATTCCCTCTGGCTTGTTACAACATTAACTATCACAACTGAATTGCTACATCTAATTGTAGGTGAGGATGTTTTGCTTCAGGTACTATAAAAATCTTGAGAAAAAGCCTCAAGAGTTATTTGGGTTTCTCTTACCCTGGAAAAGGAATTTTGCTTCTCTTCTCAAACGTTAGAAGTTTACATGACCTCAATGCTCAACAAATTGAGTGGTGTCACCCGAAAGAGTGAAAGGCTTTAAGGTGCAGAAAACCAACCCCAGATTAATAACTTGAACTGATAAAACGAAAAGGAGGCAAAGCTGAAATCAAAGAATGCCTGATGAGAAAACAGTTTTCTGTCCACTAATTAACTGAACTACTAATTTGAACTTTAAAACAAAATCACCCAGACAGCCTAAAGAGGGTCTGATTTACAGAGGGGGCCGGACTTCCTCACTCTTGAGGTCAACAGCTAAACTGAGTCCTCACAAAGACGGCTGAACAGAAGTGTACACACACACACACAC